TTTGTTACCTACAGATGGCTCCACATGTGCTCAGCTGGCAAGGAGTCTATCAGTAGACCCTAGTTACCGACCCTGATTTTCCCATTCATTGAACTGGCAGGAAAACTAATACCATTGCTTTCGATACTGTTATTATTGTTATTGATGTTATGCTTATTAAATTGTCATTAGAATATTTTTGACAATGAAATGATACAAAAAACGTTTTCCTAAAGTGAAGGAAAAGGGTAAACAGTTGAAATAGGTAGTTCTTGATAACTGGCTATTTGGTGATTAAAAACTTGTAGAGCCATCTATGTGGAAATACAATAAATAAACGTGTATCAAAGTGGGTATGGCATCTATTCTTGCCATATGTGGCGAATGGGTTAAGATCATAATCTGAATTGTCCATGCATACATATATATATACACTGTGTATACTTGTAAAACACGTTTCAAAATTGTAATTATTTTTATATACATGTTTATGTTGTGTCTCACTGTTTCTGGCATTGCTTTCTATTGTTGATAAAGTTACTTATCAAATGCCTGTTCTAATCCATTATTACTAAGTATTGAAATGAAGCAAAGAGAGTTCAGTTTATTGTGACTTGTGTTTTTACCTTCCTAATAGTAGGAAAATAATCCTGATAATATGTTGGATATGTAAGGAAAATATAAACTTGCAAAGGATTTTTGATATACATAACTGCACTCCCTGCAAGAAATGTTGAAATGTATGTTGCATTTCCACTTAGCAGGTTAAATTCCACTGCTTGGCCTTAATTATTTCCATGTAATGACAGTGCTGATGTCATGACTGTAAGCCAGTTCCTTTTTTGAAGAACCCTTTTTGATGGATCAGACTGAGTGGCTCAAGTCCTTACGTTAATCAGTATCATAAGACCCTCGTATCTTAACCCATTGCCGACGGGTATGGCATATACATACGTGCCATGCCCACTGTGAGTTTACTTGTTTAATTGATTTTACACATTGATGGCCACACTTGTACTAAGTCACCATGGAGTCAGTTATGAGTACTGCCTGTCTTGCCCGTTCACCCTTTTCATTGATTCACAAAAATGTTTTACGTTGTCTTATTTTGCTGTTACTAATGTTTATAACATAGTAATTATAATGTTTATCATAAAAGTAACACCATAAATATTTATAGCACTAGTAATAAATACATTTTTCCCGCCAATTCAAGGAAAGGTGAAATCAGGTAAGATCTCAAGATTTACTAATTGACTCCTTTATGGTTAAGCACTAGCAGAGCTATCTATTTACAGAGACATTTCACAAAAATATAAAAAATGAGCACAGCATTTTCCCCATTTTTTATTCATTTTCCCCAGCGGCAATGGGTTAAGAACGTAAGCCAGAATATCAGCATGGAAGAGTCACTCTCTCCTCATGAAAATCTCTCCCTTCTCTTTTCTCCTTTTGACATGTTAGACAATCATGTCCCTCGAAATCCATAGTGATTTTGGAGACTTTTTCTTTGGAAAACTGCTGTGAAAGGGTCGATTTCATATGAAAGTTGGTTGTCTTGTTTTATTTCTGTCTCGTATGTCTGTTGCTGTGGATTTATTTATCTTGTATGTGTTTCATATTGTCTTTTTTCAGCTCTGCATATATGTGTGTGTTTGGGGGGGGGGGGGTGCATGTGAAGGGGAAGGGGAGAGGGTGAGGATGAAGATGAGGATGAGGATGAGGATGAGGATGAGGATAAGGGGGGGGGGGGGGGAGAGAGAGAGAGAGAGAGAGAGAGAGAGAGAGAGAGAGAGAGAGAGAGAGAGAGAGAGAGAGAGAGAGAGAGAGAGAGAGAGAGAGAGAGAGAGAGACATAAATTTCCTATGTCTATGGGTGTCCATATGTACACACTTAAGTACACATGCATAACTGATCACGACTCTCAGAGTAAATGAAAAAAACAAGAAGAAAGGACCAGAAAACAAACATATGGTAAAATATACCTTTATACTTCTATATTTGAGAAATGAAGAAGTAAAAAATAATCAAATATCCTGAAATGACATTACACAAGGAAACGGAGTAAGAGAGTGAGAAAAAAAATATTACAATAAGCGAGGCAAATTCACAAACAACACCTGCCTACGGTGTCCAAAATATTACATGACGAAAAATTGTTTCTTTGAAAAGCCATTATTACAAACAAGCTAGTTCCTAAATCCTTGCTTTTGCAGCTGTGTTAAAAAAAAAAAAAAAGTTGTTTAGCAGTGTTCAAAAGGTTGTTATAAAGAAAAGAATGAATGGTAAAATATTTTAGTAAAATTACAAAGAGCAGAAATAGTAAATAAATTATATCACATGAAATTAATACCCAATAATCAAAAAATCAAAATTGCCCTACGGAGAAACAGAAATCACATATTTGCATGGAGGAAAATTTAACATCAAAGCAGCTATTTTTTTCAAAAAATGAAAAAAAGTACATAGTATTGGCTAAATTAGCAAGAACTACAAAATCCAGTCAACTATGCATGCAAATACATAAATTTTTGCTTGCACTCTAAACAGAAATTTCAATCAGAAGTACTTCACTTAGGACTATTTTTTTCTCTTCTTTAAAAAGTGTAATATTAACAATTCCCTTTTTCCAATGTTATCAAACTCATACAGTTATTTTCTCATTTGTGCATGAAGTATAAACAAAATTTCTTTAATTCTACATTTTTTTTTTTTTCCCCTTTCTGGGGCACTTGCTTCTTAAGGAATTATAGTCTCCATAGTCCAAAAAGATCTTACAAAGTGCAGGGTCTGTAGTCGACGTAAAAACCTGTAACGTTCTGGGAATAAAAACCTCTGCTCTCCACCATTACAAAATGACTGGAAAAAAAAAATACTACTTTGACTAGCTTAGTTCTCTCAATAAGTCGCACTGAACAGCCTCATTTTAAACAGAACTTTGTCAATACTAAAAAATAGAATGAAAGAAAAAGAAAAAAAAAAATTGAGCACTCGTCTGATTTTTTTCACTCGCGCTTAACAATACTCAAAAAGGACTGTACAAAAAAAAAAGAAAAAAAGAAAACACTATCAAAATATGTAAAAACAACCTTCATGGAAGGTAGAAAAATGGTTATCCTGGAAGAAAAATGTAAATACACAAGGCACGTGCTTCAAAATCGAACCCCCAAAAAAGCAAGTGATTTTTCACTTTTCTGTCGTTGACTCGTTTTGTTGTATAAGCAATAACAATTAAAAACAATAATACAGAAAAAGACCTCTTCATCCATTTCAAAGGAACTGACATAACTTTCATATATTGTTTTGCACATTCTGTTATAAAAAGTGATTCGGTTCCAAAGAGGGAAGGACTAGTTCTATGAGTTATTCACATCGTACCCTTAGAGATTTTATTCAGTCCTATTCCGCAGAGGCACTGTGGGGATCTTGAAACGTTTGGAGTTCAGCTCAGGCCGGAAATCCTTAAATTTACACCCAATAAATGCACCATTTTCCAAGTCGTTCCTGAGTACAAACGATGTAAAATTTGTGATGCTGTGCTTTACCCGAATGTTCTGGCGCGGTGCCTTGCCTGGCTTCCACATTTATTATCATCATTCATATGAAAAGAACTGAGACTGAGATCATGGTTGGGAACCTGGATGCCAACCACTAACAATGCCATTTTTAGTTCTTACAATAACCAGGAGCAATTTTTGAGAATTTATGCTAAAAAGAGAGGTATTTTTCTTGTATTTAAAAAAGTTCCTTTTAGAGATCTTAGTTCATTGAGCAAGCTTGACTGACATTATTTCATATTCTTAGAATCCAAGATAACTTCAGTGAAATACCTAAACTACATGACTTAACCAAATTCTATTGAACAATTCCTTACATAATTTCTTCAAACAAACATTTATTGGGAATTTCGGATGCTTATGTCTAACATATCAGAGGAAAATTTTGGCACTTTTTAGGAGAAAGTATATAATTTCTTAACTCTACTAGAATAGAAACAATTAAATGAGCCTCATAATTGCATTGGTTTTTATATATACATAAATAATCATAATCATTATACAAAAAAAATCATAATGCTACACCACTAACAAAAAAAAAAAGAAGATAAATCCTATCTTTAATGCTAATGCCATGATATCGTATATTTTAAATGCAGGTCATGAAATACAGATTTAATACTGAGGCACCTTGTATGCGTCTACTACTTCTGTTGTTATTATACACAAAAGTATTATCATAGGCCATTAAGGAGTACTGTAACATTGTAAAAGCCATATTAACTATTCTTATTTTCAGGGAATCAATAACATCATTAAAATAGATCATGTGAATAGAATCTACGGAAGGCAAAACGGGCTTTACGATAGACTCTGTATAGATTCAATTGATATGTTATAACTTCTTCAACACAACGTCTTATTGGTGGTTGGGGGAGGTCGGGGGGATGGGGGGGATGGGGGAGTCAAGGTATTAAATATTTTCTATCCATAGAACAGTCGTACCATCATCTTAATATAAACAAATGAAGCACCTACATTTAATGGCTCAGATGAAAAAAAAATATGTAACATCAACATCGGTTTGATTTCCTGGCGAGGACAGTGCTGCGAGGGCCGGCTTCGCCCCTCCTCTCCTCAGGCTCTTGAGCTCCGTCGTTCTGTTTCCCGGGCCTCTCGCGGCCTCACTCCTCCGAGGGGCTTCGGCTGGACTTGAGGAAGATGGTGGTGCTGGAGACGGCCCTGCCCGGCGACGGCCGCCCCGAGTCGCGCTCCTCGGAGTCGCGTCCGCTCGAGCACGGCGGCGTCGCCTCCCGGCTCGAGCTCTCGTCGGCGTCGTGACCGCCCGCCGCGTGCAGGCGCAGCGTGAACGACGCCTCCGCCGTCCTGGGGCTCCCCCCCTCCTCCTCCTCCTTCTCGGGCGAGCTGCTCTCCGGCTCCGGAGACGTCTCGGCCTTCGGGGAAGCCTCCTTGCTCGCGCCCTTGCCCGAGTCCTCGCCGTCCCTGGGGCTGGCCTCCTCCTCG